TGATATTAGACGATCCCCCCAGAACACGCGCGATATTGCAGGGTTCCCCGGGAGCACGTGTGACACTGTGGGGACCCCTGTCCCGGCGGGTCACTGGGCACTGAAAGCACTCTCAGGACATGCAGGTGCTGTGGAGCTGCTCTTCCCTCTGTCCACGAGCGTGCAATCACCGTGTGGATTGTCTGGCGCTGCCTGTGCCAGGCTGCTCCGGGGCAAGCCCATGTATGGGCAGGGCTCTCCCCGGGGAGTCACGGAGGGGCTGAGCCCCGGGGCGCTGGCTCCTGCCGTGGCTGGAGGCACTGTGCCCCTACACCACATCCAGGTATGTGGAGAGCGATGTCCGCCGGCGGGGACTGGGACAGCCGGGACAGCGCGGCTCGAGGGGCCCCACGCAGCCGGCATTGCTGGCGAGCAGCCACAGCTCCCGACGGAAGCGCTGGCCCAGGAAGGCATAGAGCAGCGGGTTAAGGCAGCAGCGCAGGTATGCCAGCCCACCCGTGACCAGCAGCGCCAAGTCCTTGCGGCGGCTTTGGGCGCAGCTCACCTCCCAGCTGGCCAGCAGCTCGGCCGCGTCCAGCAGCACCATCAGGCTGTGGGGTAGCTGCAGGGCCACGAACACCAGCACGAGGGCCAGCAGCACTCGCAGTGCCCGGTGGGGCTGGGCACCACGGGCCGCCAGCAGCGTCCGTGCCACAGCCGTGTAGCAGCTCGCCATCACCAGGAAGGGCACCACGAATCCAAGCACCACCTGCACCAGGTTGGTGGCCCCCCGGGCCACCCGTGAGACCACATGGGGGAAGACGACTCGGCAGAGCCGGAGGTCCTGGTGTTGCTCTGCCTGGCTGTAGATGAACTGGGGCAGTGCCAGCAGCGTGGCCAGCAGCCAGGCCAGCCCCGCTGTCAGCCAGCCATGGCGGCGAGCCCTTGGACGCAGGCGGCAGGCGGCCGGGACCTGCACGATGACCACATAGCGGTCCACACTGATGCAGGTGAGGAAGAGGAAGCCGCTGTAGAAATTGAGGGCGTAGAGACCCTGCAGTGCCTTGCAGGCGGCCGTACCTGGGGACCAGCCCTGCAGCGTGTCAGTGATGGCAAAGGGCAGAGTCAGGAGCAGCAGGAGGTCAGACAGGGCGAGGTGCAGGAGGCAGACGTCAGTGACGCTGTGTGCCCGGCGGTAGCGGGTGTGTGTGAGCAGCACCAGCCCATTCCCCACCGTTCCCAGCAGTGAGAGCAGCAGGTAGACGACAGGCTGGAAGGTGCGGGCAAAGCCCTGAACTGCCTGCTTCTCGCAGAGCTCGGGCAGCATGCCAGCCTCCCCCGAGTACTCGTCCTCCCAGGAGTAGAACTCGGTGGTGGCCATCAGCTCCGTTGAGATGGGGCTGGGGGTTGCCTGCACAGAAGGAGACTGAATGAGGAGGGCTCGGTGGTGGCAGCCCGGCCACAGGGTGCAGCACCACACCCAGGGAGGGCAACTCTTCTCCACCCAGCCCCACCGCGGGGAGCCTGGGCGTGCCACAGCCCCCAGTCCCCAGCCCCACGTGCAGGGTGGTTTGTCTCACACCCACCCCGCAGCAGTGGGAGGTTCACCATGCTCAGTCATTGCAAGAGCAACCGCACGCTTCCCGAGCAGCTGCCTGCGATGCAGAGCTGGTGAAGGGACGTGACCCTGGCTACGACGTCCCCAGCACAGCACCACGTCCCACAGACTAACCCTGCACCTGCCTGGGGAGCTGCTCCAGCATCCCCTGGGGATCAGCACCCAGCCTACAGCCCTGGCTGCCCTGGGCAGTCAGGTCTTGGGGCTCCACACCAGCATCCCTGGGTGGCCAAACCACCCACCCACCCATGCACCACCCTGGGGATCCCAGTGCAGACACAGCCCCACACTCCCTGGCCCTGGCCCCAGATAGGGAGGTCCCAGGGCATCCCACTGCCTCGCACATGTTGCAGGCAGTTGCGCACGGAGCTGCTCAGCCCTGCTCTGGGGCAGTGGGACAGCACTGCAGCCTGGCACTGAACAGCTGGGACCCCTCTGCCATGGATGTCAGGGTCCGACACAACTCTGACTCAGAGCAGTCTCCCAACAGCAATTTCACTCTGGCCCATGTCAGCAAGTCCAGGCAGTTGGGCCGGAGCCCCCCCACCTGCTCTGGGGCCACAGGTAGGATCTGAATGCAGTGTCAGGGAAGGTTAACTCTCCAGCAGCTCTCCTAGCTCCTTCCCTGCTCTGGGCCCCAGGGAACCGGAACACCAGGTACTGCCCGGATTCCATAGAGTTTTGCCTTTCAGCCCAAACCCACAGGGTTCACAAGAAAACTATCTAAAAAACATAAGAAAAGACAGTGAGGGGGTTCCTGCCCCCAGCAAACCCCTCACCCCACAGCCTCTCACCTGTTTCTGCATTGCACAGCAGGACCTTTCCCGTGTTCGGTGGGTCTGGAGCTGTTGATGTCTCAGCGCTCTGTAACCTGTGGTTTGACCACGTGCCTCTTCTGATACTGAAAACAGTGCAGAGCACAGACCCAGCCCCATGGAGGAAGGTGAGGTGGCTCCCCTCCAGAGCCTGTCCTGAATAATTTATTTTGTGCATCTTTTACATCTGCATGCTGGGGACAGAAATAGCAGCTCCACTCAGTCCCTGTCATGCAGGACTGTGGGCCAAGCCTGGGAGCACCCAGCCAGGGGAACAGCGAGTGGCCAAGGGTACACAGCATGTGCAGGAGACCCCAGCCCACCCTGGGGCTGTTGGTGGCTCCTCTGCAGGTCTGGAGGGGAGGCTAGAGGGAATAGGGCCAAGAAATGAAGTGTATGCTGCTGTGGGCTGGCACTTAGCTGGGCATAGGAAGGATGCTGCTCAAGTGGGATCAGCAGAGCCATGTCTGGTCCAGGATCATCTCATCCTGATGGAAACATGGTGGTTCCAGGAGCTGGGGTGGCTGCTAGTGCAGGCTGTACCTCCCACCCAGAGGTCCCAGCCTGGCCCTGCACTCTGCATCCCTGCATCCCTGCAACCCCAGGCCCCTGTGCCCCTGCACCCCTGTGGCTCTGGGCAGGCATGTTGCTGGTTGTTGACAACAAAATTCCCAGCTCCTCGTTAAGAAGCAGATTAGTTCCTGTGGGGCAGAGGCCCCACTTTCCTCTTCCCAGGGGGGAGCAAATTGATCCCCAGCTTTAACAGGCTCCCAGCCATTTGCCACAGTAATCCCTCAATCCCCCTTTCTCCCCCGCTACATCAGTCTTTGCTGCAGCTTATCCCAGCTCTGCCCTCGGTCCTCCTGCTGCCTCCAGACGGGTGTGGGGTCCCAGGCACTAACTATGGGGCTGTGCAGCTGTGGAGCTGCTGTGCCCTGGCTGGAGAGTGACTGGGCAGAGGCCTCCAGTCCCTGGGGGTTCCCCAGACCTCTTTGCTGGAGGGTCATTTCCCCTCCCCTGCTCTTTCTGCGGTGCAGGGATGTGGCTGCAGACCTCTACTCAGTGCTGGCTCAGGGGGTGCCATCCTACACCCTGCATCCTGGGGGAAGGGGAGGGAGGAGAGTCCCGGGGCCAATGCTGGCCCTACAGCACATCAGGGAGTCCGCATGTCCCCACCAGGGCTGTCACAGACCTGACCCAGCACAAGGAGAGGACATGGGGGCTGTGGCCAGAGCAGGTAGCACCCTGGGGTGTCAGGATAAGGTCAGGTGGGCTGTGCCTTTCCTGGGGATGGACCCGAAAGCACTGCTGGGGTCTGGGGGACAGGAGGGCAGGTGCCAATGACCCTGGCACATGGTTCCAGCTCCCGGTAGCAGAACTCTCGGTGCACCACTGGCTGTCCCACATCATGCCCGCCACACCTGGGGCTTTCTGTTCTCTCTTTCACTCCCCAGCCCAGGTCTCGACTCTGCCTGGGCAGGAAGGAGCCCCAGCACTGGCTACCCGCAGGTCATGGCTGTGCTGCCCTGCTGAGAGCCAGTGGTGTGGAGCTGCCCTGCCGAGCTCCTGCCCAGCTCCCAGAGCCAGCATGGACCCAGCAGCTGCTGGGGCATCCCTATCCCTCAGAGCTGCTTAGGGCTCCTGGGAGAGTGGGTCTCCTGCTCCTGAGGGACCAGGGGACACGGGGTACAGAGGGTTTGTAGGTGTATGTAGGGCAGGCAGTCGCCAGCCCCCCCGGCCCCTCTGTGGGCATCTGGGGATTGTTTGGGAGCAGACACGGGCTAAATCCCTTCTTCTGCACCACTGGAGAGAGCAGCGACCCGGAGACCTGAAGGCCTTAATCTGTGGCTTGATTACAAACCGCCGCCACATCTGCTGCGGGGGGGCTGCGGGCACCGCTCCGACCCCCCCTTCCAGACCGGGGCTGCAAGGGAATAAGGGCTGGGGGGGCTCGGGGCTCGACAAGGGCCAGGCGYTGCAGAGGAACCTCCCGGGGATGCCAGAGGAGTTCCTGCACGGCCTCGCTAT